CACGCAGGGATCGATTATTAACAGGCTTTTCACCTACTGAGTCTGTGCTTAATGTGTCCCATGTGTTGGAGGTAAAAGATGTGGAGTCAGATAACCAAACATGTTTGGAGTGGTCCACTGGCATGTGTTTTAGTTTTAAGGATTTTAAGTAAAGTAGTAGGAGTCTAGTTCAAATATAACTCAGATGTGTCTCTGCAATGATTTAGGGCATAAAACCCGGTATTACAGAAAAATGAATGCTCTACAACAATGAAACTCATCTCGTCTTTCCTGTTATTGGTAGGTATTCTGAAATTAAACTGAGAACATGTGAGAAACCGTCCCAGGCTGCTTGAAGTCATGGTGTGGTAAGAGCCAGCTGGAATCAAGTTATAATGTGGGATTTGTCTTTTTTTTTGGCTTTATGAGGCAGTGGATCCCTCTCCACTCTGTCCATCTGATGACTCAGCTGCAGTCCAACAACTATCTCCAGAAATCAAATATTTACACTGTCCAAAACACACGGCTGGAAGAGGGACAAAGCAATATAAAAGATTAGAAAAAGAAAGTAAAATAAGCAGGATACATGTTAAGTGTAGTTTTAACAGCACGCATCAAGTATACTGGTTCTTTTGAAACTTAGTTACCTCATCCGCTTCACTGGCTGTACAATGTCTGCTGCTGTTTACTCGCAGTCAAGATGAAAGGGTCTATTTAAACAAAATCTAATTTACGTTTCTCTGGAAATCAATTAACAAGTTCAGCCTTTTTTCATTTGGAGTTGTAGCTGTCCCTGTGGGGATAAAGAAACTTCACTGCTTTGCTAATCAACTAACACTCCTGGTATTTTTAATCCCTATTTTGGTTTAATGACATACAGACGATCCCTGTTGCAGTATGACATCATGGACAACTGAAACATTTCAACTGTAAATATTCCAACTTTTATTAGGTACCACAAGATGAAAGCTTGGCTGATTTATCCCTTAAAAACTGTATGACTGCATTTCTTTTTTTAAACACAAGTTTTCCTTGATCAAGATAATAAATATTTTTGGAATAAACTTTCGTTTCCTTTGTAAGTAATGTACCAGTTACTTTAACTTGTATACTTTGACTTTTTTTAAAACATGGTTTTACTTCATGACTAAAGCATATTGTCATATGCTATACAAATAAAAATCGACATACTGCATTCTTTGTGGAATCAGCTTTACTCCCTGTATATCTTGACATGGCAAGAGTTCAGTCAAATGTGACTTTAGCACATCCACCTTTAAATAAACCTGTTCAATGAGTTAATGAGTTCCTCATCGCTGCATCCTCTGGACACCAGCTCCCCTGTCTGAAAATCACTGAGTGTCTTTCACTTTTGGGATTGCATACAAAATCTGGTTTCATCTAATCACAATGGAGTTTAATTTACTTACTTTTTTTTATCATACACTCATTAGGAAAAGATTCCTTGATGCAAATATTGTATCATACACCAGTACAAGAGTACATAAAAAACAGTATAAAGGCTGCATAACAATGACACAACCATCATATAAAACAAATAAGGTGAACTGTTTATTTTCAAATAATTGTTATTTGCCACTTCTTTACTGATATAATCTGAGGAAGTACTGAGATTATTTGATGTGATCTTATATTTTGAATCCTGTCTAACTGTTTGTTTGTTCGTCAGCAGGATTACACAAAAACTAGGGAACAGATTTCCACAAAACTTGAATGGGACATAGGCGAAGAAAGAACCCATTATATTTTTGGGCAAAAAGACTTTAAAAGAATTTGGCGATGTCGAATGTGTAAGTAGTCTCTCACCTTACGGTGGGAACTGAATCTTGTATTGCAGTCTGAGGAAGTCTGTTTTTCTGTGTGTTTGTTGTTTTTTCTCCCTTTTGATAGAAGTACATTTTGAAGGGGGAGCTTTTCTCTCATCATCTCATCATTTGTTTTTGTTGTTGACATTTTGTCATGACTGTACAATTCTCCACCACCATACCCTGCATTCACCTGCATCACCAACCAAACTCTCCCCATACCTCCAAACAACATGGACTGTAACTGAAACCCACCTGAACTACATATGTTGTTATTTTACTATAGATGCTGCTATTTTATTCATCCTGTAGATGGACAATTCTTGTCACAACTGCACATTATATGCACATAAGCCATACAGTATTTGCACTGCTTATTTTGCATTATTCCAGTTTGCGCTACAATCATAAGAGGTGGTGGACTAGTGGACTAAGTGGAACACTAATCAGACTGAAGGTCACTGGTTCAAGACTGACAAGTAGGATGGCGCAAAACAAGTTGACCATAAGATGGACCAGACTTGGATCTGCTGAAGTCCGGGAGGACAGATGGACTCTCCCTATCCCACTGTCTAGGTGCCCACTACTCCGTGTGGTCACTGCTCACACAGGATGGGTTAAAGGCAGAGACTGCATGTCGTGTGTTGTGTGTTGCATTATTTGTGGGATAATAAAGGAATCTTAATCTTAATAAACAGCAGTTCATATGCTATCTACTCTGGGCCATTATGCTTATGTCACATTTTATTTGTATAGTCCATAGTCACAAATCACGGCATCCTCTGTGCTTAACCCTCAATAAGAATTTAGAAAAAATACCACAAAAAAAAACAACCTTTATGGGGGTGCGATAGATGCTGCATTATATGTTGTGTACTTAGGGATCTACTTAAATGTTTACACCGGGGTCCATAGAGACACACTCAATCCTGTCTATATGCGCATATGGCAGAATTGACAATAAAGTTTACTTTGACTTAATAATTTATGGATGATGACGAAGAAAATCTAGCATATGTAAGAGACCGATATATATGGATGTGTAGAATATGGGGCAACTCGATTGAATTGAAGTGGTCTATTGGGTCTTGAGGAATGTATGTGCTCCACTGAGTGCCATTCTAAACACTGATACTAAGTAGTGATATCTCTGACAGATCAGGGTTTGGACAGCTACAGTGTAATCAATTGGGTCAATACAAACCCGAAGATTCGAGTGACATAAATGTATCATGAAGCTGCATCTGACTGCATGTATTTTTGATGCACTGTTGCCTTTCCCCCCCATCATCTCAGCTTTATTCACAGCCCTAACACACTGTAAACAAACAAAGTGGGACACTTTAGTGGGGACATGCATATGTATGAGATGTAAAATAACCTGATCCCTTTCAGCGTTTCCTTGTCAACTCTCAAAAGAGGCACATCAGTGTGTTTTCCTGTGTTTGCCACAACAAAAGTTCCCTTCCCTCTTTTCACAGGTGCCATCTCATTAGTAGTAAATCACTGAGCTGACACATGTGTTGTACCCACTCACACAGCAGCTCCTCTTCAGTGGAAGTCTGATATCACAGCAGAGCAATGCAATGTTTGCTCAGGAGAGATTTCACACAGAAATCAGTCTGTGCACACAGTTTAGTGCTGTGATTAGAGGTTGTGTGGTGGCAAAATGAAAGGATGTGACAATAATGTCATGTGAGAGCTCCTAAAAAATATATTTTAAATGGCTGAGAGGCCAAATTTATGTTTATTGTGATTTCATACATCACAATGTTAAGATTCAAATGATAATGAAGTAACTGCTAATGCTTCTTTGCTTAAAATCAAGAAGTATTCATCATCAAGAAAATCATTAAGGGGGTTGAGTGCACTCGTTAATTCTGATGCTAAATGACTCTCAGAGAGTTTTTTTCTGCATCACATTAAATCCACACATATCATCGATTACGGTGAATTATTGTCTCTTGTGTCTTGTTGTTCCTCAGAACTGTGCACTGGTAAAATATTGTATGTTGGCTCTAATGACATCATTATAGATCATCACAGAAACCACTTATTTGTGTTGCACTCATTCATGGTTCCTGTCACAGTCCCATCGGACAGATTAGCGGAAACAGAAGTGACTCTTGAGGTGATTCTTTCTGTTTCGGTGGTTTCTGCTCCTGTGATGATTTGATGCCTTTTACCATTGTATATTATTAAATAGAAAATAGTAACCAGATATGGGAAATTGACTAATTGTTCCATCAACAAACAGCTACAAGTGTAAAGATTTCCCCTGTGGCAAGTCACAAGATCTGTTTTGAGGGGTCATGGCATCCTTTATGCAAATGCATCACATTACTTTTTATTCACTTTCTATTTTGTTTCTGCTGCAACAGAAAGCACACAGAATTTGTCTCTGGTAATTAAAAGGAAATGCAGATTTCATTTAGTGTTGGGGTTAGTTGTTTCATTATCATTGGATGGGATTTTCACAGAGTTTACACCACATTACACATCCTTGTATTTTTATTTAACAGCTGAAAATAAATAAAAATACCACTGGTAGAAAAACTTTTTTAATTGTTGCCAAACAGATTTTCCCAGTCAGGCAGTATCGCCAACAAAACACAGACAAATTAGTGGGTATTTAACTTTGTGGGTATTGTCTAATAATACATTGCACACAGTGTATGGAAATAGTTTGATCACTGTCATGCATTTTTATGTCATTACCAATAGATTATATCAATAAGGTAAAGTTGTACATTTCTGGTTGAACCCACAGGCTTTCCATGAGTACTCAGTGTCCCTTCTGATCTGCATGCAGGTGTCGCTGAGATATACCCAAAGGTTGGATATGGCTCGATATGGTGGAGAGGATGCATTGCATGCCAGTCTGCACTGCTTTGCAAATGGTAAAGAATGCAGTACAGGTTTAAAGTGTATTTTACAGTGCATCATTTCAAAAATCTATGCAAGATTGTGTTTATTGTCTGGATTGTGAAGCTGAAAACAAAACCAAAATAGCTGAAATACTGTGGACGGGCTGGGAAATGTTAATGCATAATGAGTTAAAATAGAAAAACTAAAGTTTTTATAAATTGATTTACTTAGTAAAGTTTTAATCTGCAAAGCATTTTAATAAAGTGGGATAATCTCATCCATTGGTGCTACAATAGAGCAAGGGGGCATTAAAAATCAGAAACATCAGTGAGTAAATATGCAATATAAACAGAAGGAAATGTGAAAATAGCAATAATATATGCAATGTGAACAGGATTCCACGTGAAGAGATGTCTTATCATAGCAACTTTAACAGCTCAGACATCAACATAATCTGGCACCAGGACCCCCATGCAGCTGCAGATCACTCAGTGGACCCCCATGAGATAAGCCTGGCTTGTAACAACCCTGTAAGTAACGCTCGTCTGTCTGCACTGGAAATGATGGGGACTCTTTTTAAAGCTCACACCAACCCCACACATTGACAAGTGGGACCCGGTGACCCAGCAGCAGGGGCTCCTGATCGGCCCGTGCACGCCGCTCTGGGGACTCTCTGCGGCGGCCACTCTCTCGCTCGGCTCAGCCTCCTCCCTCCAGGCCCCGCCTCCCGCATGAAGCCCTCCGAAGAAGAGGAGACGAGCAGAGGACAGTTTAAAACTCCGAGCCGGAGACGCTGTTTGTCCACGTTTTGTGAAACCGTCGCCTCCACTTCTTCCTCAGCTCAGTGTTTGTTTTACCCACCGCTGAAAAACAAGGGTGTGAAGAGGAGGAGAAGAAGGAGAGTGTGTGATATCCGCTCCCAGCAGCAGCGGAGCGACTTCAAACTTTCCCCCCAAGTTGACTTCACAGTTTTCCGGAGACTCTTCGCTGGGTACGTCCGCTCCTTTTTCCAGGGCTACTAACCAGAAGACGCATGCTAGCTTGTTGGTAATAGAATACGGTTAATTCAAGTGCTGTCATTCTGTCAGAGTCGCCCGCGAGTGGAGGAAATAAACAGTATTTTCCAGTAAGCTCGTGTTTACTTTACCGCCCTTAAATGCAGCTGCACATCTGTGTGAGGACATGCAGCCGTCCTCCTCCTGGAGCTGCGAGCTAACACTCCTGTCAACACGCTCCTGTCTCCTGCTGAGGCTGGATTATTAGAAAAGCAACAGGTAAACAGAGTGCACAGCCTCCCCAGTTAGAGAGGGGACGAGGTGGGACTGACTGTGGAAACACGCGTGTAGGTTGTGACTGGCAACACGAGAAGCAGCTGGGTGTCGATGGATGAAATCAAAAAGCACCACTCATCTGATAGCTCTCTGTAACCTTATAGACACGCGATTGACCTGCACATGCTGTGTTCTGTGGTCCTTTAGCTTCTGTTGTATCTGCACATGCTTGTGTTTGTAGTGTTTTCCCACGTGTTATTAAATCTGAAATGACCTGTCCATGACAACACATTTGATCGATCAACTAAAGGCTGCAACTTATCATTCGTTTTCATTAGTCTCTTGATCAATCGTTTATTTGCTCAGTCGATGTCAGCAGACCACAATCCTAAGTGGTTCAAGTTCATATGGTACATGAGAACCTATGCTCTATTGTGCCTGATCTAGTGAGTGTTGGTCATTTCCTGCATGAAACCTGAGTGAAAGGATTGAATGCTTGTCAGCATATTTACAGATCAAGTAATGAATCAATTTATCAAGTAATCATTATATCTCTAGTTAGTAAGTAACTTTATTTAATATGGCCTAGAACCTTTCACAGAGCAAGTCACAAAGTGAAGAAAAAACAGTAATCAATACAATCAATATATTCATTTTGCTTATTAGAATGTGCCATTTGGTGGACTTGGATCAAAATGTTGCATTGTGACCATTACAAGCTGGTTTAATTATTTGTTTTTACAGTCAGTCCCAGATATGTGCAGGATCTGCATGGCAGCGCAGCAGGACAATGTGCGCATGCAGGGTTGAGTTGAGACTGTGATACCCGTGCATGCAATGTTTTGCAGCATTTCATACCTGAAGGTGTTTGTGTGGGTGCTGACATGTGTGTGGCTCTGTGAGAATTAAGGCCGTGAGAAAGACTCGTAATCAGTCATCCAGAGCTGCATTTTTCTGATGGAAGGGGCGAAGAGGTTTGGTGGTTTGCCAGCTTGACCCGGGCCACACATTCACACTGGAAGGGGAGAAAAGCTCATGCAGGATTATTCAGCAGGTCATCTGACCACTCTAACATCTCCATGACTTATTACTGTATGAAGCAGTCAGATGAGTAAGTCTCAATGCAGAGTGTAAGTCTGACATTACCTCAGCCTCTTGTTTTGCAGTTCCCTTCACGTATGGCTTTGTGATTATGGAAACACAGTGTAATCCCTCTGCATTCTACAACATTTAACTGCAGTTGCATGCATACGCGATGACACAGATACAAGCCAGGCCTTTAACACTTAAGTGACCACAAGTATGCAGATCGGTTTCAGTAACGTGTGGTACCTTCAGGTCTGCACGCGCTGATGTACTTTCCAGATATTCTCTGTGTGAAATAGCGGCTCGGCTTAAGATGGTCAGGGCTGAAGAGAAGTCACATGAGGTGATTTGAGTTGTTGCTGCAACAAAACCGGGGCCACGGCACGGAGCTTTTGGTGTAGAACCGTCATGCTCAACCCCAAGACAAGCTCGAAAAGTCTCTTGTGGTAAATCTTTCAAGATAATGAGAATGTCTTTATCCCATCAACTCTTTTTAATCCTCTACCTCAATGTGAACCCTGCTCCAGTTGAGACGCTACAGAGGAGTAAGAGGCTGTTTAGTTTCAGCCCTGAAAGTCTCCTTCCTTTGCTTTGGTGCAGGTATTACAACACAGTTTACCTTCGATTAGTCAGTGAGGAGGTGAATGTCAAAGGAGGACATAAATCAAACGGAGGTCACTGGCTCTCTCTCGCTAGCTGAAAGTGCAATATTTGTCATGATCTTCCAAAATGACTTCCCAGCCCTGGCAGCTACCGCAGAGTGAAAGGCCCTTTTGTCCTTTGCAAGCCACTCGCACCGCAGAGCGATGCACCTCAGTACTTTGGGCATCACTTCCCATACAGCCTGTGCATGAGTCAGAGAGGTGCACATCTGTTTCTTCCACGTGGTTCTTTAACTCGTCACACTGGCAGCCTTTAACCTGTGAACATGTGCGATTCCTGTCACAGCACCTTCAGCCACACGGTTCTGACGTTAGACGCGAGCTCCAGTTCCAGGCCTGTTGTCATAAAGCATCAGATATCACTCAGAGAAGTAGTTTGCATAACTATATCTGTGGACCGTGTCTTTCAAAAAAAGATTGTGGCTGTAGCTGCTGTACACGTCTGATAACAATCAAGAATTAGAGCCGAACACTGTTAAAAAGAAATTGGTGTCAAATTAACTTGAATCAAATTTTTTGTTATTGCTTTTCAGAGTGTTAGAACAGCTACTGTATTTGTTCCTATGTATTTCTATTGGATATATTTCCTCATTGTTTAAAAGCTTTTATCAATTTATGCTAATAACTTAATTTTAAAGATTCTTGGTACTTCTCTAATGCTCAAATAAAAAAAACGAATGATATTATGTCCGTGGGAATATATAAACTGATATTAACTCTTTGCAGATAGAATGTATTAGTGTTTATGCCGACTGATAACGTAAAATGTCAGCAGAATGAAAATGTAGCGAGCATTAGCTGTGGCTCCTTCTTAGGTACAGATGTGTTGATGGTAATTAATCAGACTTACTGGGGTAACAGCAACAGGCCTGGACCCTTGTATCACAAATGGCACCAAAAGGGGTGGCTGTTTTTTTGCCTGTGTGGCTGCTGAAACCACAGTCACATACCAGGCAATTTTCTGTGGTCGCCCCCACATGGATATTGCACCAATCAAATTACAGCACCAGCAGTGTCAGCTGTAACCCAAATAGTTACACCCTTTAAGAAACAGTAATGCAGACTGAAATAAATGAAACCTCAGTTTCTTCTTTTTGATATACTAGCAGTGCTCATTTTAAACCTGCCTATTCGAAATAGGCTGTCCTCATGACCTATTTTAATGTTAACGTTAATACTTCAGAAAGATTCCTTGTCATTAGTGGGTCCTCCTCTTACTGTCATTACTTATTGTTTGTGTGTTGGACGTTGTATGTATGAGTTTTGTGTAAAATAAAAAGTACTCGTGCAGAGTACAGCTATAAAACTTCATCCTACTTGGTTTATCTGCAGTCAAGATTTTATAGTTTTCTTAAAATGAAAATGGATTTGCTTCATTATTATTCAAGTGTGTGACTTCTATATAAGTTTGAATTGTATACTTAACTTATATTTTCATACATTGCATGTTGACTATTTCAGGGGTCTGTTAAGCATTGACAACATCTTCAGACCCAAGTTCACAACTTTTCAAAACAAAAGCCCTGTAATTCTGCTTAGTTTAAAGGACAGCAATATTCAACCAAGTGTTGTACTTTTATTTTGAAGACAAATTACCAAACAGGAAGTGATTCTATGAGTGTTGCTACCTTGACGGAGATGAGCACCCGTGATAAACCCAAAATGTCTGTCAGTCCAATGATCTGTTGGCGATTGTGACCTGCTTTGTGACCCAGCTACCCACCACTGCTCTAGCTCTTAGCACGGAGTAGAAGACATGTTCAACTCGTCTGTTAGCACACTGCCCCGCTGGTCGCCTGTTTATTACATTTGTGTTAATATTGAACCACTAAGAAAAAACATGAAATGATGAAATGCTGTGGGAGATGTGTCCCACATACAGATGTTTGTGGAGTTATTAGGTAGATTTTTAACAAATAAGAGTCAGTGTCAGTTTGACTCTTTATCAGTTAAATCACTTGTTTCTATATTGCTCACATGTTCAACTCATTATTTTTAGGGTTCAAATAAACTCTCTGTAAATTGAATTATAGTAACTTATAATTTTTTTCATGGCAGCCAGTGTTTGGAGTCAGATTACTGAGGTTAAAGCCTCAGATGAGGTCATGCTGATTAGCTTGGTGGTACTAAGCTTCTTACCCAAGACCCCACTGGAGCATCCACTGTTGCCTGACACCTTCAGTGAAAGTGTGTTAATAACCTGTGGCATTTTCCAAAGTGCTTCACACCCAGCAAGCCAGTCAGCCATCCCACTCTGCTCACACACTCTGAGCAGCGGGAAGGTGTATGTGTGAGTGTGTACCATGGTCCTTTGAAGCATATATTTGACCCCCCTAATTAACCCTCCTGGATTAATCCTCTGGCCTCCAAACTGCTGCTTCTCATGTCTCATCTCATCATTGTCCAAGCTCAGAACCTCCTCCTTCTTCAGGTTGACATTCTCTACTTTTGTTCACTTTGCAGCTGGAGCTGGAAGCTGACTTCTTTACACCACTTCATAGAGAGGGAAATCCTTGTGGAGGAAAGCAGGAGAAAGGCCTGTTCATCCACCGCCCTCACGCTGGAATCTGCAGGATAATAACAATATGGCTTTAAGATCCCCCGTTCCTGTGTTACTTCTTGCTATATGTTGCCTGGCATCTGCAGGTAAGTTTCTCTCACAGCTTCTGTGTATGCAAATAATGCTGTTAACAGATCCATGTGACTTGTTTGCAACAAAAATCTTGGTTTTGAGCCAAAGTTTACCCATTTAAATGACACTGATGAGATTCTGCATGTGAATACACTCATGCATTTTGTGACTGTTTTACCAATCATTTTTGGTGGTGGCAGGTGAACAGTCCATGTGGAGAGCAAACGAGGCATAACACACTGACTGAACTTTATTGGCTATCGGCTCTTTAATTTATCTGGATTTGTATAAACATACGTAGCTGTAAATAGTAAGGATGTAACGATTCATCTACTACATCCATGTATCGATTTATATTCCTACGATCCAAGTACATCGATCTGTGCTCGGCAAGTTGGCCTTCCGGACGACATATATCAATCTAACATTGTTTAAAAAGGTAATCAATCGATTGTATCAGTACTAGGAAATAATGCATTGGATTTAAGCACATCAGACTTTATATGGATGTGGTTTTTTTAGCACTTTTAATGATAAAGGCGTTAAACATTACTCGATTCAGTCTGCCTGTCTGTGACGTCATGGACACAAGCCGCCAGCAGCGCAAATATCAAAACATGGCATGAGGGTGGATGGCAGAGGAGAAGCCGGTGAGTTACACCCCTAGTAAATAGCTAAAATGTTGTCTGGACCTTAAATATCCGCAGAAGGTATCACTGTTTGTATTTTGTGTGGAGAAATGATTGACTCATGATGAAAGAAACTGTAAATGGACTGAAAACAGTGTGATCTTGTTTTAATTCCTCTAATAGTTTTAGAGGATATTTGAGTCTTGACCTAAGTTTTGGATTGACTGACTGACTTTTCCATAGTGCCCTGCTGCTAGTATCGCTAAAACAGTATGCTTCCTTCTTCTTCAATGTAATAGCCTAAAGAATATGTTATTTCATTGTCAAGGATGTGTAAATGTGCCAGAGAAAATGCCAATGGTGTAAACAGAGGTTGGCACCATGCTAACCACTTTGGCTTTGGCCTTGTTGAATATAATTAGGGAAAGTAGCATAAAGTCTATGACAATGATGATTTTATTGAAGTTAATGGTGTCATTATTGCAGAAAAAAACATTGATTTTCTGTTTCTGGTGAGAAGTTGGGCTGTGGGCATAACTGCATTGACCAGAAATGGGTGAAGTAAGAAGATGTGGATTTGGCCTTGAGGTGCAATAAGACGAGCTGTCACTGTTGTTACATTCACATTGGCTTCAAAATCTAGTGGCGGTTTCTGTTGCTTAGTAACGTGACCAAAATATAAAATTCTCTGACCTAACCCCAATGGTTTGATGAAAAATCTGTCATGTTGGGCTACAATCTGGCACGAACTGCACTGAGAATATTGGACATTCCTCTTCTGTTTTTCAGATTGTGATATGTCCTGTTTACAGACACTGGTTTTACAATGTATGACTTTAGATTTGAACTCACTCCAGTTTTAATCTGCAACATCCCGTGTTGTTTTTCTGTGGTAGCACAGAAATAATTACCCAGTAGGAGGCATGCTACATAACAAGCGCTACAAAAAAAAAGTGCGGTTCACATTTTTCATGCAGTCAGTCCGATTCCTGTCAAATGTTATTATTTCAAAAGTTCCTCTCTATCCTCTGGAGTTTTGAACCGCACTCCAGAGAGTTGACTTTTACTCAAACAATAGCAGCGTAGTCAGTATGTTCTGTGGGTAGAGCAAACATCATTTCTCCCACAATACCAGGATCTCCAACACAATGAAGTCGCATATGAAGTTTTCCTCTAAATTCTTCCTCATACGACAAGAAGCATTGTTGTACTGTGTCACAAGGGACAGATATTTACAGTTAGATGACCAAATGCCCTTTCCTCCAAAGTGCACTGGCAGAAAGTGTGCTTGGTGATGTATGGTCTTCAGATGCTCTTGAGTTAGCCAAACACAGGTAAAATACGGGTGAACACATTTTGATTAAAATTTCAATTTTAAAAATCATTCTTCCGTTTAATTTTGGCCAAATGAATCTTTGCACACATCACCAATACAGCCAATTTTTACCTTTCCTCTCGTTCTCTCTCTTATTCTGTCTATTTAGATCGTCTTGCAGCATCTGTGTAAACAGTCACATCTGCCCCTTAAAACTTGTCAGGAGAGCTCTTACGTAATGTTTAGATTAGTCTGCAATGAGTCTTCTCTCAGTGTAATGCAATCCAGGCTCTGGGCCTCCTCCCATAACTCTTAAAAGTCAGACTAAGAGCACCTTGACGTCCATATTTTAAGTCTTTGCTCTGCTGCTTCACTCTACTACTTTTTGGTGTTTTATAACCCCCCCCCCCCTCATATCCTTACTACAATTTTGTGGTCGTCTCTCACCATCTTGCCAGAATTGGTATTTTATGAAGGACACTGTATATTGTGGGCCTTCGGGCTGACTGTGGGTCTTGCAGGAGCCATGCCAGATATTAATTTGAGGCACTTGCCAGAAACAGCTCCGGCAGGATGCTGGTCATACTGGAGGCATAACGCCGGGGTGGTTGCTCACTGAAAAACACACCAGTGTTATTGAGTGCTGAAGAACATTTGCCTCTTATAGACTTTCCCTGTTTTATTTATATGGCAGCTTGATGAATGATGAAGCAATCAGCGTGACTCTGTCTTCAGCTATTCATTGTAGAGCCATTCTTGCACTGAGATTGTGGAACTTAACAATAGCTGGAAAAAGGAGTTGAATGGTGCTCGTATTAACAAACCATATGTTTAACTTAAAGATTTTTAACCGCTCCTTTTTACAGTAAACAACTTTCTCTCTGTCTGCATTTTTGCATATTATTGGCAGACAATAGTCAACGTGATGCCAAAAGTGGTTCTGATGTTTTTTTTCCTCCCATAGTTGAGCAAAAGGTCTGTCTCTATACCCACAATTCTTTCTTAGGGCCAGTCAGAGGGGGGACTGCCAAAAGGCATTGTGCAACCGCTGTAATCTGAGAGGTGGGAGAGCCAGGGGGAGGAGAGAGGCAGGCGCGGGCGTGGGGCGTCTGGTCCAAATCGACACACTCCACACACGTACGACGTGCCAAACCGACAAAGTCCCTTCCAGCATGCTAAACCAGATGTTGCTTCATGAGAGGAGCTGGAGCGGTGCAGCACAGAGGCTGTGTGCTGCTAGGCAGAGTGGTTGGGATGTTTACATAGCAACAGGAGTCCTGAGCGTGTCTAATTACAGGTCTGCACTCCCCCACGATGATGCCTTTATCTTAACAGCCATTCTGCCTCTGACTGTTTATTTGGCTTACTTATTAAATGGAGGTCACCCTGGTATTACCCACTTTAATTAAAAGCAGTGTATAAATTGAATTATGGAGTATTTACAAACTGCTTTACTTCATCTCACCTGCCTTTTTTGTGTCACTCACTCACTCACTCACTCACTCACTCACTCACTCACTCACACACACACACACACACACACACACACACACNACACACACACACACACACACACACACTTGAATGAGCTTCAGCAGACAGGTCTCATATCTCGCGTCCAGGTCCATCGTTCCTTGTCAAAGTGATGCTTACGCAAATCAGCTGGAGTAAACCGAATCCAGCCCCTTTTCTTCTCTTTTGCTCCGTAGTTCCAGTAAGACGGCGTATAAATAATTTTGCTCAGAGCCAGTAATGAGAGACAGCTGGGGTGATCGTGCATTTTCCATTGTGTTTCACTGCCCTGTAAAAAAAATAAAAAGAAAGGAAAAGACATCGGAGCAGAGTTGGAGTAAGAGAGTGATGCAGAGTGTGACTTCATTGAAGAAGTCACACTCTGATAAAAATCTGGTCTCCGTCTGTTCAGTTAACCTTTGAAAAACAAATGTTGCGCTGTCAGGTTTTAATGCTTGAGGTTTATACAACCAGTGTGAGTGTACACTATAAGAACTCTATGGTTGCCTAATCACTTTGCAAGTCAACTTTTGAGTGCATGACTCCATCTGAACAGTTCAAATATGGGATGTTAAGTGACGGCTTCCAGGTGGTGTCTTTCATCAGGCCAGACCCTCGCGGGGCCTCACCTTCCGCACTCCGTTTCCACCAGATGAGCCCTGCTGAAAGGCCTTGTCCCAATTTTTTTCTGAGTGTCTGTCCAAAAAATGACAGAATGGCCTTTCTCTGAGCCTTCGATCACAAACACACACTGCTTGTTTATCAAAGTTTGATTTCAGATATGAAATATAGACAGAGTTTGTGATCTAAGTTTCTGTAGCAATTAGATATCCATAGGTGCAGTGATCCTTAACAACATTGGCTTTATAAAGGGTGTAATACTATCAGAAGCGGCAGCATGTTGGTGCCTCACTGAAAGAAAGTTCCCAGTTTGTATCCCAGTTCAGCCGGGGGTCTTTCTGTGTGGAGTTTGCATGTCCTCCCCATGTTTGCGTGGGTTTTCTCAGGGTACTCTGGCTCCTTCCACAGTCCAACACATGAAGATTTGGTTTAGGTTGATTGGAGACTCTTTATTGGCCGGTGTGATTGTAAGTGGGAATAGTTGTTTGCCCTGTGATCGATGTACCTCACCTCTTGCCAAATGTCAACTGGGATTCGCTCCAGCTCTCTTAGATAGATAATGGATGGATTGGTGGACTTACTCTTTGGTAACTCCCTGGCAGCATACTTTGTATGTACTTTATTCATACACAAGGCATTGTAGCATTTAACAAGTCATTCTTCTTCTTCACCCTCTCTACCCTGAAGAGGTAGAAGCCCGGTGGAATGTAGCCCCATTTCAGCCTGTGTGAAAACGCCGTCTGCCTTGCCCTTTCTCACCTTTCTGGCTCCCTCTCACTGGGCTCACACACTGGCACAAAGGACGGGCATTGTTTCACTCTTTGCCGTCTGTCGATGGCAACCTGCTGCTTCTCAGAGGCCCCTGATATTCACATCTGAGTGATGAGGAACAAAGGCATCTTTCTGGATTGTCATTCGAGTGATGTGGAACAAAGAA